TGGGGAGAAGTGGACACACCAGAGGACAGGGAACAGCTGCAAGCAGACCTGGACAGGTTGGACAAGTGGGCAGAAAACAACAGAATGCAATTCAACAAGGAGAAATGCAAAGTGCTGCACCTAGGGAAGAAAAATGTCCAGCATACCTACTGCCTAGGAAATGACCTGCTGGGTGGCACAGAAGTGGAAAGGGACCTTGGAGTCCTAGTGGACTCCAAGATGAACATGAGTCGGCAGTGTGACGAAGCCATCAGAAAAGCTAATGGCACTTTATCATGCATCAGCAGATGCATGACGAATAGATCCAAAGAGGTGATACTTCCCCTCTTTTGGGTGCTGGTCAGACCGCAGTTGGAGTACTGTGTGCAGTTCTGGGCACCGCACTTCAAGAGGGATGCGGATAACCTGGAGAGGGTCCAGAGAAGGGCCACTCGTGTGGTTAAGGGCTTGCAGGCCAAGCCCTACGAGGAGAGACTAGAGAACCTGGGCCTTTTCAGCCTCCACAAGAGAAGGTTGAGAGGCGACCTTGTGGCTGCCTATATGTTCATCACGGGGGCACAGAAGGGAATTGGTAAGGTTTTATTCACCAAGGCGCCCCCAGGGGTTACAAGAAATAATGGCCATAAGCTAGCAGAGAGCAGATTTAGACTGGACATTAGGAAGAACTTCTTCACAGTTACAGTGGCCAAGGTCTGGAACAGGCTCCCAAGGGAGGTGGTGCTCTCCCCTACCCTGGGGGTCTTCAAGAGAAGGTTGGATAGGCATCTAGCTGGGGTCATCTAGACCCAGGGCTCTTTCCTGCCTATGCAGGGGGTTGGACTCGATGATCTATTGAGGTTCCTTCCGACCCTAACATCTATGAATCTATCTTATGGCAGAGTTAATTAATTTACTTCACCCTAATACAGGTGTAGATAGTGGGAGTATCTACATGTGCATTAATGCATTTTAGTTAATGCGTATTTAATCTAGTACCTCCATTGTGAGGTACTAAGAAAAGAGCACAGTTTTTAAGTGACACTTAAAGTGCACTAAAGTGACACTTAAAGTGCACTTAAAGTGCCTGTTTTAATGTGCGTTAATTATATAGCACTGAGCACTTCAGGCACCTATACATGAGCACAGACACTGCTTCAGCATGCTGGAATTCCAGCATGTCAACGCAGGCTCGATTAATCAAGTCTGCTGAAGCATGGCAATTACCATGCTCTAGCAGCCTCCTGTGTCTTATGTATCAGCATCCCCATGCTTAAAAATGGTGCTGGTTTAGTTTAAGTGCCCCTGCCACCATTTTTAAGTGTGGGGATACTGAGACATGAGATGCAGGAAGCTGCTGGAACATGGCAATTGCCATGCTCCTGCAGATTTGATTAACTGGGTCTGTTCCAACATGCTGTAATTACAGTGTGTCAGAGTAGCCTCCACACTCATATAGAGGCACCCATGGGGTTTTTTTTTAGTTACGCTATAATGCTTATTAAAATAGGGTAATGTGCATTAAAGTGCACATGTAGATGCACCCAGTGAGTCTTTACTGTAAAGCTAATTAGTCAACTCCACAGTAAGGCACGTGTGTAGATGCACCACAAAGAAGATTTGGAATATCATGCAAGAAGAATTGGGTGACCCTGAGGCTGGGAGTTATAGAAATGGAACGAAATATAATTGCACTAAGATCACTGGAGACTAACAGGAAGAATGTTTGTGGGTGTGCCTGCATGTGTATTTACTGCACAGTAAACAGCTTCTATGCCGGCATCTACATGTGCAGTAACGCTGTGTGTGGACTGACTTGGGACTAAAGTAAGTCTCAAGTCAGTTCATACAAATAGGGTTACTGTGCAGTAAGGCATCTACATGTGCCTTACTGCACAGTAACTACTTGGGCATAAATTTGCTACCTGCATCATGCAGGTAGCAAATTTAAGCCGAAGTCGGCGTAAGTCACTATAGTTACTGCACAGTACAGGTGTACATGTGTAGATGCTCACCCATACTGAACAGTAATTTTTGGTTACTGAGCAATAACCTAAGTTACTGTGCAGTAACGGTGCACGTGTTGATGCGCCCTGTGTGGGCATCACTTGAAAATGCTTGAGGAGGAGAAAGATCTTGGTGTATTAGTTGATCACAAAATGACTATGAGCTACCCGTTAAATGGCAACTGAAAAAGGTAAGGCAGGTGAGGTATTTCAAGGAAGTAATAGTGGCATTATTCAAGGCCCCGGTGAAAATTTATCTGGAATACAAGTACAATTTTAGTCATGTTCAGAAAAGAACACGTACAGAGAATTGATACTAAGACAGTCAAGCAATGGAAAGCCTATCTTACAAGTGAAGACTAGAAGAACTTGGCTTGTTTTCAGTAGGCAAATAAAGGCTGAGAAAGGGAGAAGAACACCAGAAAGGGAAAATGATAGATTTAAGCTACAAGACAATGCTGGCACAGGAGCAAGTCAGCGTAAGCTGGTCATGAATAAATTTAGACTGTAAATTAGGATCATAAAAACTGCATTCACAGACACATGATCTGTCCTACCTATATATTCAGAACTGATCCTATTTGAATCAAATTTAAGGGGATTTGCCTTTCACTTCAAGTATGGGAACAGTCAATATTGCCCAAATGTCATTAATCAAGTGTTCTCACTTTGGATATTCATTTTACAGACTATTTTACCCACTTTGTGCTGTGTTGTGGTTTGTCTCTTCTCTTCCTATACCTATTTCTCTATTTCTTTGCAAGATAAACAAATCATTAAAATAGAGATGGCCTTGAACAGAGGAACCCAATTTGAGGATGACATTTATATAGACAGAAGTAATTAGGTAGTTCCTCTTATCACAGTCAACACCACAGCTATTTTGTGGAGAAGGGAGGAAGTCAAAGGAAAATAATTCATCTTGAACTGGGGCCCTGTTTGTGAGGTCTGTGCAGTGAACAACAAAGACAAAGAAGGGAAGTTGGGCTTTGTGCTTGGAAAAAATGAGTAACTCACCTCCAAAAACATGGGCTGTGATGGTGCCTGTGACAAAACTCTGGAGTGTCATGGTCACTGGTGACATGTAGGGGGTGCATGCAGGTGCACGTGCAACCCCTGAAAAAAGGTGCCCCTAACACTGTCGGCAGTGCCTGCAGGCAGTCACTGCTCTCCACCCCCCACCACCAGCACCGACACTGTCAGCAGCATTTGCGGGCGGTGTCTGCAGGTGGTTGCTGATCACTGGTCAGCACTCACTGTCCCTCCCTCTGCCATTGACAGTGCTCCAGCTGCCTACAGCAGCTCCCCACTTGCCTCCACCATGCTCCCAGCAGTGCTGCCACCACATGAGGGATCTGGCTGTGCCCCCGCAGCCTCCAGTGCTCATAGTCATGGTGCTCCCAGAGATACACCCTGGGCTGTGTAAGCCTATATTGGTTGCCCACTCCATTGAATGGGTATGCCCAGGTTATGGATTTGCCCAGAAATCATGGTTTACCACAGGCACTTTGGAAAAGTAACAGGAAAACAAAAGGGTTTATTGCAAGGAAGAACAAAAGGCATAAAAAAGAAAAAATGGTCAACTGCTTTGACAACAATGTATGGTACAAGAAAACTGACAACATCCTCACACTATGTTCAGACTACGACATATCTTTCATAACTATTCCTGTAAAGATCTCCCATGGTCACAGCTAGCTCCCTCAACCAAGGACCTCCTTTTCCCCTCTCACAGCGAGCTCAACCTCGCTTCAGCCCCCTCCCAATGGTCACTGCCTCCAGAACACTCAGACAGCTGCCACTCTCCACCTACCTTGAGGGGAGCCTGAGAATCCTATGAAGTGTTTCTGCTAGTGGAGCCATGAAACTATCACTCTGAGGAAGGAAAAACAGATGTCTTACAAGTACATGGCTTCAGAACCAGTCAGACTCTGGGCTGGTGAAAGAACAGTGGCATGAAAACCGATATAGAGTAGGTCACTTGTCTTTAAAGGAATAAGCCCATGGGAGAATTCACATGTGAATTCTTCACACTTACACTAAACATGGTGGACAGCAGTACACGTATGAAATTATTAACTGCCGCATAACACTTGACAGTAAGTAGTTTTGCAGGTTGAGTTCTGTGACTGTTCTTTATTATGCAAACTGTAATAGTCTCAGCGTTACCTTAAACTACTCCCCCAATCTTGCTTATACCCACCTATTTTTTCTCATCACCTAGGATAACAACTTACCTGAAACTCCAGGCTTTCTAGAAGTCGCTATAATACAGCTGCAGTACAAATGCAGATGAAAAATCATCAAGAAAACCTGAGGATAAATCCTGATCCCCATTAGGCAACTTGTTCACATGCACAGAGAGAGAGAGAGAGAGAGAGAGAGAGCAAGTGAGCTTTTTCAGACTTTTGTAAAACTTCACAAACAAGAACAATATGTGTAACCAGAAGGAATCAGAGTTAGGATACATGCACATCACCAGAGATGCGTGGGCCAGCGGTCAAACAGGGATTTACATGTCAGTCGCAGTATACTGGGAAATGTTCCAGGCTGTCGACTCTGCACCACCCAAGTCCTCCAAACTAAGTGTCATCAAGGAACATGCAGCACAATGTACGACAAGGTTAGAGAAAGACTACATTGTGCTCAACGTGCTGCAAGAGCTGCTGCACTAATTTGGACTGTGACTTATTCCCCTTCCCACCCCCAAGCCATTAAGCCTTTTTGGTGTCAATCAATGATGTCAACAGAGTCCTTGCTGTGAAAGATGATGGCTATATACAAATGCAGGGCTTGGTTTTCAAATGATGTATTTCAGATATGTGGCTGAGACTAGTGGTTAGATTTGTTTGGAAAGAATTGATGGTGAAAGAAACAAAATGTTATGAATACTTTTACAATGTGATTATCTATATCCCAGTCACCTGTAGCCACTGTACTAGCAAACATCCATATAAATAGTCTTAAACTTCTGCAGTATTCCTTGGTTCAGGTCAATTTGTGCTTTCTAACCCATAGGCAACTTATAAGAACAAAGGAAAGTACCCACAAAAAGAATGGAGGTTGACTGATGACCCAGACACCAACCAAAGGCAACATAGGCGATTGGAGGAGCTGGAGCCTGGCAATGGGGAGTACAAAACAGAAAATATGATCCATTTCTCACCCCCTTTTTTCCTCTTGTTGAGGCTTCCTTTCTTTGTTCCTTAATTAATATTAATGCTTTTCAGTCGGTGCAACTACACATGAAATCAGTGTACCTGAATAAACTCCAGTGCAGTTCATGCCACAGTTTATTGCTTCTGGTTGCAGCATTTACACATGCACCCATGACCACAGCACCTAGCTGGCAGACAGCCTCTATACTGTAGCACCCTCCTGCCCCAGCCAGCCCTGCTCACCATCTATGCATGTATTGTGGTGGAGTAAATAACTCCACTGTAGAATAGTACTTGAGATGGGCAGTCCTATCCTATGGTGGAGTTCATTAGTTTACTCCAACCTAATCGCCCCACACGTGTAGACAGTAAGGTGACCACCCACCCCTAATTGAGCGGGACAGTCCCAAGATGTGAAACTGAAGTCCCAGTCCTGGGCTGAATGACTCTGGGACAGTATTTGTCCTAGTTTCCCAGTATCCTGCAGGGATCTGGGGGTTTCCATTTTCTGCTGGAAATGGTGGGTTTCCCCTTGCAGGCTGGCAGAGTTCCAGCCAGCAAGTTGCTGCTTGGGGCTTGGGGAAGCAGGACACATGCATATAGCCAGGAATACAGCCTTGCAGCAGTGGAGAGTAGCTCCCTGCAGGTAAGTCTATGAGAGGGGAGGGGGCATAATGGGGTGGGGGTGAGATTGAGGCCCCGACGGGAGGGAGGCAGTGGGGAAAGGGGAAAGGCTGGGGCTGGGGGTACAGCCCAGCCAGAGTGGTTCATGGGGCCTGGGGCTGGGGCAGGGAGCTGGATGAAGCCATGGGTGGCTATTCCAGAGGGTGGCAAGGGGGCTAGCTCACAACTACTGCATGTACTCTCAGTGAAGGGGTTTGGCACATGCCCCCCAGACTTGTGCGCTGGGTGGGGGCAGATATGGGCTGCCAACTGCAGGGTCATGGCTCTCTGCCCTGCTGTCCTCCCCCTGGAAACCCCATGCCAGCCATGCCACCATGGCAAAGTGCCCCCTCCCTGCCTGGCAGCAGTGGGGCAGGGAGCCCCAAGCCTGCAGCAGGCAGACCACATCCTCCCTAGCCCCCCATGGCCCCCACTTGCCTTTGTTCCAGCCATGCCATGCTTGATGGGCGGGTAGAGCTGGGAGGAGGGCATATGTCCCACCTTTCCATTTTGAAAAGGTAGTCACCCTAGTAGACAGTGATGCTTTACTGTGGAACTAATTAGTCAATTCCACAGTAAAGCACTTGTGTAGCTGCCCCCAGTGTTTCCATTTACAGGAAAGAAGCAGAAGAAGAATAGCAGCATAAACATATGTGTCAAGTTGAAACATTGCTGAACAGTTTCTAGTGAGATTTGCAAGATGCAGCATCCTGAAAAGTGAACCAGATGTTGACCAGGGAAACTAAAAGAAAGGCAGGCCAAAAATAATCCAGTGCAGATTTGGCCAGAACTTTGAGAGATCAGGTGATTAGGTTTCTGGGTTGCGATTCCTGCCATGATATCTGTCATAAAAATGTCCATAGGAAGATCATCTGTCTCCTTTGCCTGTCTGTAGGAGCTAATGATAGCATTTATTCTGATTGCTTACTTTAATATGCCATTTCAATGAGAGGAAAGCTAGGCCAACCTAAACATAAACTAATTCAATGTTATCAATAGTATTATGGGGGTTTCAAAAACTCTTCTGTGTGATTTGTTTAGGCCCTCCTATGTCAGGAAGTTCTATTTTGTGTTCTGAACCTTGTATAAGACACATGTAAGAAACATATTTTGCTTCTTGTAACATGTAAGAAACCTTGTATAAGATATATACTTTTGTAGTAATGTTGCTTTACAAATTTTAATTTTCATGTTGGCACTTGTAGGAGTTGCAGTGAATATAGATTGAAATTGAACCTATCTTGTGTGAGGTAATTATTAATTACCTCCATAATGTTCTTTTCATCCTAAAAGTTACCAAAATAATTTACAAACTTACAACGGTATATACACTATACTCACCCATTACTGCTTATGAGTTTAACACAGGAAATTAAGTGTTCTTTAAGTAACAAGAATGTGACTAGCTAAACTGTACTTTGGTCAAGACACAGAACACAAGAAAGACTGACCATCAGTGCCCATGATTTCAGCATATTTTCTGTTCCAAACTATGTCCTCTGTATCAGCAAATGTTTCTTACCCTTGATAGTGAATTAGTACTGTACTGATTCCAAAAGAGTGATACCCGTTCAATCATATCCTACCGAAAACTTGGGGAAACTAATGCCATGGCAGCAGAAGGTTGTATAACCTCAGTATAATACTAGGGGAAAAGTTTTGTATGTGGGTAATACAACTATGTTATCTGGGGGAGCTATAACCTTCCCACCCATGTACACGCAAGATAGATTTCCCAGCCAGGTGGTACTTATTATGATTTGCTTATGAAGTAGCACTAAACCCTAAAATTAAGTGATTTCCTACCAATTAATATTGTTACTATAGTACATTCAGTACCAATAATTTGTGATAGTAATATGTTATTCCTTTACAAAGACAACAGCAGTGAAAGACATTATGAAAACATAATTTCTTAGTGCAGTAGATATGGCTCATAGAGTGATATGAAGTCAGAAACAATACGATGTCATTGGCAATCTGAATCACATCAGCTGTACCAGCAATGTGTAAAAACAAATTTCCTAATGAGAGAGTTGTCTTTCTGGGCAACTGAAATGGTTTTTTTCCAGGAAGAGAATGAGCATGAAAGAGATTGAAAGCTTTTGATGATGCAGCCTACCAAGAATGCTTTTTTAGTGTTAATTCAAAACTGGAGAACATTTATTCCTAATACACACACACACACACACACACACACACATATATATATGTGTGTGTGTGTGTGTGTGTGTGTGTGTGTGTGTATATATATACACACATATATATATTGCTGCAGATTCTGCAAGAACTATCCTAGGATTCCGTAACAGTCGAAGCCATAAAAAAATACAGTTGAGTACCTGTCCACAAGGGAGGGCATCCTGGTGTTTATTGGAATTTTCCTATTTGTTGCTACTCCTGCTCATTTTAACTACTTGAGAATAGCACTGCTTTCCTTCTGTGTAGTGTGCAATGTCTAGTAAGTTGTTGATGCTACACAAATACTAACTAAAACACTAACAAGAAGAAGAAGGCAACACAGCTCTCTTTCAGCCCCCTAGCTGTGTACATTTTGCTAACTCAGATATGCATAAACTCAACACTTCCTAAGTCTTGGGAACAAAATAAAAGGGTATAAGCTCTTTCCTATTAGCAATTTAAACATGATGGCAGTAAATTGTATATCGATACTACAATTGAAATGCATTCTGCAAACACTGAAAAAATGGAACCAGTTATTATATAGCTTTGACACTGATTTATATGGCAAAAGTATTGTATGTCCATTTAGAAATTGCTTCCATATCCACTTTGATTCCATTTCTCTACTGAATAAGTTTAGAGATTTTCTAGATTTGGACATAGGATTTTGGTCCATAAAGGTATTTAGGTGCCCAAGTATCCCCTGGCATCATGCACCCTTTCTGGTCTTAGGGGTGTCAAGGTTATCAAACTGACCTGGGCCCCTGGGCCACATCCTGACTATGGAGTCATTTCTTGCAGGGTGGATCCAGACCACAAGGAGCCTTCTGGGCTCAATCTGAAGTGCTGGTGGTGGCAGGGCTAAATAGCAGCAGTGGTGCAGGGGTTAACTCAGCTGTCACTCACCCCCTAACCACCCACATGCATCCCCAACAGGACTCTGTAGCTGGGAATTCATCAGCAGGCCCCAACCCCATGCTTCCTGCCTCTAAATTCCTGGCACTTCTAGGAAACCTGCAGTCCAGGTGACAGTCCTTTGGGCTGGATCTGGCCTGCAGGTCATATCTTTAGCACCCTTGGTCAAAGCCATAGCTCTGTAATGGCTTCTGAAGAAGATGTTGGACTGTACATTTGTATTCTCTGTTTATACTCTTTTGCTCAGTGTATGTATAGCACCAAAGTACAAGGAACGCTGATGGCTGGTGCTCCTAGGTAATATTCTACCACACATATTTAATAGTAAAAAGGATAATAATAAAGTGCATAGCTGTAAGTTAAGCAAATCCGATTTAGTGTTTTAATTTTTGGGGGGTTGGATATTCTTCTAGAATATTGTCCTTTTAAATGTGCCTATCAAGCATAAAAAACTCTTCTCAGACTGTGGTCCAACCAGCACTATGGGAGACAGTTTCAATAGATTGTAAGCCATCTTGCAGGTAAAAATTTATATACATGCAGTGCAAGATTCCAGTGTGTTTTCCTTTCAGTCTTCTGGGAATTTCCCAGTTATCCAGGCATTAAAATTTATTGTAATTTCCCTGATTTTCCCAGTCTTTCCATTTTCCTTAAGAGTTAAAGAACAGGTTGGCCATTCCTTGCTCGGGCTGAGGAAGTATTCCTTTCTTGTCAGATTCATTGAGAACATACATTTATGTTGTATCCTCTCCTAGCATCATTGCAACATAGTTTATGGGCAGGCTGGCCTACAGGCTGAGTAGTTGTATGTTCTGAGAGATAGGTACTCTTTTGTTGACCTCATCAATTTTCAATACACTGCCCCACTCTTCTTAATCAAAATCACTTCAAAGACCCAAAACAGATTGATTCACATGTGAACACTACCCAAACTGTCTTCCAAGAGAGGGAATACTTGTCTTATGTTCCTTTGAACCCACTGCTGCCCGTTTACTTGTATTTACTTTGCATGGCCTATGGCTGAACCATGGAAATTAGAAAACAAACTCCTATTCAGCAAGTCATGTCAAAGGTGACCGCTATGCCAGAGAGTTGACTGTGGGACAAACATTCCCTCTGATCAGGAGGCCTCTTCTGCAGTGTTGCTGTCTCCACAGTTACATACCTGTCTGCAGAAGCCTTTAGTTTATCTTGTCTATGTGGGAAGTCCTAGACGATGCCATCAATCTGAGAGATGAGAGGGATGCTCCCTTGACACTTAAACAATGGTTGTGGCGCGAAAGAAAGAAAATCAGCTCCACTCCGAACAAAGTTTCTTTTGAACTGTACTATGTTCACAGAAAGCATCAGGAGAGTCGCCATGTTCACATATACAGGTTTTGTGCTATCAACACAAGAGATGAAGTGAGCAGGCACCTCATGAATTAGTGAAGAAATTCATCAGGCATATACTGATG